AGGTCCTCAGCACCAAGTGGATTCTGGAGAAAGGTGATGAGGCTCTTGCTCGTGGCGAGCGGCTTCGGCAGGGCACTGGTCCTGGAGAGTCGACCGTCAAAAAGGTGACCATCGGCAGCACCCAATCTGAGCACTTTTTCGTCCCCTCTTCATACGCCACTGCTCCGGTCACGACCAAGAAGAACACTGTCGCTCTCCCCGAGACTATTTCCACCACAGCCTCGGAAACCGCTTCCACCACAATCTCAGAGACTGTTCCCACCACGGTGTCGGAGACCGCCTCGACTCCGGCCTCCAGTGCCCCTGAAGCCAACGAGCAAGCCGGTGAGCCGACCATCGAGGCTCCGGCTATCGTAGTCACAGCCCCCGCCGAGGACGCCGCCAACAACAAGCTTTGGGAAAAGATGACCCCCCGCATGCTCCAGTTCGAGGCCTGGGGCTCCGGTAACGACTACGAGAACATCATCGAGTGGGTCAATGCCTGGAAGCAGAAGAAGGCGGCCGACCACGCCTTGGAGGAGCTCACGAAGAAAAGGGATGCTGCAGTGGCCAAGCTTGCCATCAACATGCAGAAGAAGGAGACTGGTGAGAAGAAGGCTGATGTGAAGGAGGCTAATGTCAAGGAAGCTGTCAGCGACGACATCGAGACGAGCGTGCCTTCTGTCAACCTGAACTCTGCCGCTGAGGATTCCGGCAGTGAGGTCTCCGGTGTTGATGAGGATCCCGAGAACGACATTGCTATCCCCGAGTCGACCACTACGGTCACGGCCCCCAGCGTGAACATCACCATATCGCCCAAGCGTGCGCCTGTCCAGAAGAAGACGGTGGTTGTCACCAAGGAGACGCTCAGCTGGCTCGGCTTCTAAGCTACGTACCAACGCAAGCAACAGTGCTTTCCCGGTAAAGCGACATCAGCATCATTCGACACACCTGGTAGGTGACTTGGCTTTATCGCTTCTCCACAAGATCTTAAAGTTCATATTTGTGGGCCATCTCGGTCGACATAATCATGGCTCGTGTGGGCATTTTCGGCGGCGTCCGGGTTGAATTTGGGCGGCACTAGGCGTTCGGGGACTGATTTGGGCAGCATCTCGTTGATTCTCTGGTTTCTCAGGGTTGGATGCGGGAGGAAAAAGCAGGTTTCGGGAACAGGAGCAAGACGGTGATTTGGGCAAAAAGGTGTTTACTGAAAAAAGGGAGCGGAAGGCACAAAGGTTTACCCCATGGTCATTGTATCTGGGCCTGCACCAGACGGGACCACAGCAAATAGGTACGGGGCTTTTTATTTTCACTTTGATAGTGATTTGGGCAATGAATTCATGATTTCGGACACAGCTGCTTATTTATGCAATATGAATGTGAAGTGAAGCATGGTCGTAGGAGATGTCTACAAAAGGTCGCCATGAAATGTTTGATGTTTGCTGGTCTTGAGATCGGGGAACATAGAATTCTATCTGAAGAGTACAAAATGTCAGAGTATGAAGACGAACTGTTCTGATTGTATGGTTTAGGATTCACTGTCTTGTTGTGGAAAGATGTAGGTGGGTCAAAACTACCTTATCTAAAAGAGTGCTGAGTCTTGAAGCCATTTATATCGGGACTTTTGCCATACTTCAACCTGAGCGACCACTCAAAGTTCTATCAGACAGATTCCCGGCTTCACCCGGCCCACTCGTGTTATCTCCCCCCCAGCTATATTCAGCCAGCCTCGTGACAGATTTAAACAAGCGAACGTGAGTCCACTTGCGACTCTAGGCTTAGTGATCGCCGTTGCCGAGACGCTAGTCAAATTTTTAACTGATTGAGTAATATGCGGTGAGTCTAGAGCCAGAGCCTTATTGTCTCCCAAGTCCCAACACCACCGACTTTGTTTGCGGGCAGTTTCGGGGAGAACGAGACAAAGCAACGTATGTACAAAGTTCCCAGCCCACCGGTATCCACATGGCACACACTGGCAACAACACGTTTTCACAGCCTTGCAGCAATTTCTTTGTTTAAAGCTTTAATTCTAACTGCCTATCTGGGCTTCATCAACAAGCGACTTGGGGCCCGGCACCGTACACAGATGATCATAGCACGGAGCGTGCCATTGAAGCCCGCAGTCATACCACATCCCCGTAATCAAAGCCGACAAGCCTGTCAAGATGACCGTCAACGACTCCAAGTTTGAATCTGCGTCTGGCAGCACTCATCACGACGGCCACTCCTCCCCCGCTGCCGGTCAGGCTCATCAGAAGCTTCATCTCAGTCCTCCGGGTGACAACACAGTTCGCCGTCTGCCCTCCCGCAACGAGCTGAACATTCACCACATCACCGAAGACCTGTCTTGCGCCCCCTCCACCACCTTTACTTACTTCACCCCTGACACGGATGAATGCTACATCGGCACTCTTCCTCTCCCATCCTCGTCCCTCACGCCCTCCTTGATTCTTCAATCATCGTCCACTCTTCAGCGAATTCCCGACAACCTCATTTATCCTGTCATGCCAGGGAAACCTCTCATGGCCCTGATCATAGCCCCCGACTCGCCCCCTGCGGACTCGGAGACAGGGGCATACTTTATCCGCCGGCCCAACTTGCTGAACTTTGACCCCAAGGACAAGGACAGGGCAGAGCAGCAGCAGGCAATGCTTCTCAGAGAAGCTGTGATTCTCCAACAGTTGGCGCAGCACGGACATGAAAACATGATCCGCTACCACGGCACGAGAACCAGGAGAGGTAGGATTACAGGACTGGTGTTCGACAAGCACCCTTACACCCTGTTGGAGTACCTGGCCGAGGTGAAAGAAAAGGGGAAAGAGAACGAGATCGAGGTCCAGTCGTTTGTGAAGGGGCTGGAAAGCGTGGTGAGCCGGCTGCACCAGCTGGGTCAGGCGCATAATAACATCCGGGCCGAGAACATTGTGGTCGGGAGAGGAGAGAGTGGCAAGGGGGTGAGGGCGGTGTTGGTGGAGTTTAGCAAATGCTTGCCTTTTGGCAAGAAGTTCAGGACATCGCATGACGGCGAGCTCAAGGTCTCGTCCAAAGAGAATGATCTTCGGGCGGTGAAGGATTTCAGGCGGTGGTTGGAAGGGGTGGTTGATCCCACATCGACCACCCCTACGCAGGATGACCATCCTGCCAATAGTTGACCCGCACGCTTAATTATCATGCGTCTTACTAATGACAATGTACATGATCTCGTTTTTTTTCTTCAATCACGCCCACGTCCCTTTCCATGGCCCTTTTCCTTTCTCAGCAGCGCCAACGCCTCCACAAGCACACTCCCATCCACCATCTTGGCCACATGCGCCCTACTGCTCGCGGTCCTGTTGTCCACCCTCGCAATGTACTTCTCCTCCTCCTCCAGCACGTCCACCAGATCCTTTGGGATCCCTCCACTCCAGTCATGCACCCGCCACACCTTCTCCAGCAAGGGCACGCTCACATTCACCGCCGCCGACACCCTCGCGTAAACCTTCTCCGGCTCATCCTCAAACACCCTCTGCGCCTTGATCAAATTCTTCAAAAAGACCACAATCTCCCTCCTCTTTTTCTTGTCGGCAAGCTTCTCCTTTGTGGAATGCAGGTTGTATATCTCGCGGTAGACCTTTCTATCCTGGAAGACCACCGTCTGGCCTGCAGGGAGCGCGTCGATTCCCAGCTGGAGGGTGGGTTCCCAAATGCCAAAAGCGTCAATCTCCCCCTTTGCCAGCAGATCGGGGAAGGTCCTGTTGCCGCACGGTGCCTCGTGGCAGATGTTGCCCGGGATGGTTTGGTAATCCCCGTATTCAAGGCCGACAGTCTTGAGGAGCTGCTCGACAAAGTAACCCGCTGATGTGCCGTTTATCGTGCCGACTCGTTTTCCCTTAAGGTCGGAAAGGGAAGAGATGCCGGCTGCGCGGTTGGCTACCAGGCGGTAGGGGACCTCGGCAATGTTCCAGATGATCCGGAGAGAGGTGTTATTTGCATAGTTGCGGAGGGCTTGGGTTTCGGCGTTGGCGCCGAGGTCGATGGAGGAATTGCGGACGAGGGGGGCGACGCCGCCGTTGACAAACACCGCGGAAGAGTTGTAGTAATCCTCGGAGGTGGTCAGGAGGGGCACGTATTCGATTACGTTTAGGGCGGCGGAGATGGTGAGGACAGCTGCTGTTGGAACTGAGAGCAGGCCCAGGAGGGGCAGAAGCAGGGAACGGCGTGTCATTGTGACGGGAAGACCAGGGATGCTAGATGTTGGGAAACGAATCCCGAGATAAGGTCAACGGGTTTATATCCTGCTCGGGCCGCTCCTTTCCACGGACGAGCAGCGGACGACAGATATTACCAGCATCAAGGACCACCTTGGCCCACAAGACAGCTTCCTCTTACAGCCAGACCAGCACTTCACCACCCTCAACACTCTGGTCAATCCGCCAATGGGAAATATGCCGAATGCCCGTTCTCCTCGTTCCAGCCTTCTAGCATCCTGGCCCGTCTCTTGTTATCCCCCAGGGTCGTTTGCGGAGTCGGGATCGGAGTCCAAATCAAACTGCATGCTTGACATATCTCGACAGAAGGCTGAGTGAGACCCATAAGCAGTATACAGCGGTTCGCAGTCTAGGCTAATTGATCTGCAGTTTTTTGCCGTTTTGGGGGCCATGGTCAAGAGGGGACGAACAGGGGAAAAGGGGTAAAAGGGGTACAACCGTCCCCGCATTTCGGCTCTTGCCGACAGCTCTATTGCAAATACAGGGTCCATGAAATCGTGTGTATAATGTCAGGAGAGGTGTCGTTATCGCGTCAGAATTGTGTGCCTGTGGCAAGTCTTCCACGGTGTGAAGGCTGGATCGTTGCATGGCTTTGTGACAAGGCTGTTTGATAGTAATCAAGACTTGGTAGGACTCCTGTTGCCTTGATCAAGTGTCGAGCTGTAAGAAGTAAACTGATCAAGAAAGATAAGGCACAGTATCAAAGAACTCAAAAAAACAATACAAAAGGTATCATTCCAGGTTGTCAATAATATCAAAAGATATCCTTGAGGATGCCCAATAACAGGATTGAACTGTTGACCTTCGCATTACTATGTACTGTTGCCAGTATTAGTACGACGCTCTAACCAGCTGAGCTAATCGGGCTTTGTTGGATGTGGTGCAGGAAAGGAGGGTGGGAATAAGAAGGGAACAGAAAGAAAGAAACAGGAAAAGGCAAAAGTAAGGACTCGGATACCGGGAGTCGAACCCGGGGCTGTTGAGAGAACAGACACTTCTGAGAAGTGAGAGTCAACGATGTTACCGCTACACCATACCCGATGAGGATGGCTTCCGACAAGGATGGTTGTTTGTGGAGGGGGAAAATATGACTGATATAATAGGGTAATGGGCAACCTTTTTGTGTGTGTGGTGGGGTTGGGCTGAGGTGCTGGAATTTCTTTGGCGGGGTCCCTCCTGGTTTGCAAGGCCATGTGACGTCATGCTGCAAACCCTCGAGCGCGTTTTGAGGAGGAAGAGTTCACTTACATACTTACCGTGCTACCGTAGGTAGGTACACACGATTTGAGGCCATGGAATAGCATTGTCAAAAATGACTCGCGAAATAAGTCCACCTCCGTTGAAACGAAGGAAGTTGGTTCCCCAAGATTCCCAAACTAAGCCGCAGTCCATTCGGGTCTTTTCGTGGAACATCAACGGCGTTGATGCATTTCTCCCCCCCACTACGACCAAGATCACCAGCTTCTTCAAGCCCACTACATCATCCAATGGTCGAGTCGGCCCAACCAAGGCACACCCTGAAGCGACAAGCAACTTGCTACGCGGCTTTTTGTCTCGTCACAACTGGCCAGAGGTCTTGTTTTTACAGGAACTCAAGATCAAACAGGGCGACTTCAAGACTCTGGCCGCTCTTCTCACAGCCATCAACAGCCCACTAAATAGCAACGATACCCTGTCTGAGGATCGAACGTACACGCTCGAAGCAGTCCTGCCTCGTGACAAGTACAACGCGAGAGGATTCCAAGGGAAACTTTACGGAGTTGGCACCCTCACACGCAAAGACTTTGCCAGGAATCACGTTGCCCGCATCCGTGATGTTGACTGGGACCTTGAGGGTCGGGTGAGCATTGTCGAGCTCGAGAAACGAGTAGGCCAAGGCAAACCGTTGGCTCTCATCAACATCTACGCAGTCAACGGAACACCTGCCCCTTATCGCTCGCCAGAGACTGGCAAGGTTATCGGAACACGACACGACCACAAGAAAGCCTTCCACACCCATCTGCGCGACGAGTGTCTTGCACTCGAGTCCCAAGGCTACAACGTGGTGGTTGCTGGGGATCTGAACATTGCACGCGGTGTCCTGGATGGTCATCCGAATCTGAGAACACACCCAAGCCAGCATTCTCTCAACAGGGCCGACTTCAACGCCAAGTTCTTTGGCAAAGAAGACAACAAGAGAGCACAAGCACATGTAACGACCAGAGATGAAAAGGAGGCCTGTGTGGATGGCATTGATGTTTTCCGCGCTCTTCATGGGTCTGAGAGAAGGTATACTTACCACTCTCGCACAGCACCGTGGGGAAGCAGCTGCGACAGGGTGGACCTGATCCTGGTTTCCAAGAGCCTCTGGGAAGAAGGCCTTGTTATTAACACAGGAATACTCGACTCTCCTCAAGAAAGAGGACCTAGCGACCATGTCCCCGTATGGGTAGAGTTGAAAGGCCCTGGATAGGGAATACTCTTTGGCTATTCCAACACTTCGGACCGGACCACCCGATCCGTAAAGTCAACACCCAAAACACACTTATCGCCGAACGGCAAATGCCGCACACATGATGCTCCGGGGACCTAACCATCCGGTTGGTTCTTTGTCCTCAAGACCATTCCAACTCCCTGGAGCCGGTGGCTGCCCCCTTAAAGCAGGTGGGTGACCGGAACCCCCGCAGGGTATTCGTGATGTCTTTGTTCGTGCCAGTAAGTTATGTTGCTTGTCGTTACCCACCCTCTCGTTTTCTAGTCAGCTCGCCACCTACCTCTTGGCCGCCCACACCACAGCCAGCCATCGCCAACTTATCCATGAATCCCTCAGTGATCAAGTCCTCAGCATGGGAAGGGAAACGACACAAATCGAAGAGAGGCTAAATGCATACAGGCAAGCCGCATATGGGTTTCCTGTTGCCGGGCAAGAGGCACAACAGTCACTGAAGGTTCGACCACGCCAATACCGGGCCATTTTGCTGCGCAGAAGACCGACTGGTCGCAGGAGACCCCGTCCACCATTGCCAGCCGCGCAGAGTCAGCACAGTCATGCCCCAGGGCTGATCATAGAGTACCCTCCATCGCCATTGTACATATCGCCAACACCATCACGACCACACAGCCCATCACCGAGTGCCTGCGAAGATTGCGCTGAAGAAAGCCTCGATGACGGCCCGATATCACAGGGAGAAGAACCTGAATGGCGGGTTTGGCAGCAAATACGGAGGCAGGCTTATACTGGGCGCATGGTGCTCGATCAAATAGCCGGTGGTGACATCAAAATGGGAGGACAAGAGTCACAGCAGTCGCCATCAACACCCAGACCCGAAACTCCGCCACGGACAGTACGCCACCTCGCCATTCGGACCCCTTGCAGTAGGGAGAATACCCCGGCTCGGAATAGTTAGGAGCAGATACACTGGATAAGGCAGTTGGAAGTTCAGCATGAACAGCGATCAACCCGCTCGTAAATAGAATGGATAGCATGTGCCCCGAGTTTGGGTCAAAGAAGTAATAATGATGATGTATTTGCATATTCCCCTGATGCTCATGAAGCGGATTGAGGTGAAGTGTGTGTATTCCGAAAAAATGGAATAAAAGATCAGCACAAGGGTCAAAAGAAAAAGTATGGCAAGGCACAACTTTGCCAAGTTAGTGGAGAGTCCCAAGCAACCTGGTATTAGTCAAGGCATGGCAATCCCAGAGGCCTGGAAACGATCACATTCGCGTATCTAGAACGGTAACATAGTCTGTCCCAGATCGCATCCCGTCTCAAAGCGTATGCCAACCAATAAAAGACACATGCATACTGAGCTTCCATCAAAGAAAATCACCCCGTCCTCGGCGTCTCCTTGAACACAAGGAAACCGGACCACTAGCACTGCACCACCTTCTCACCGGACGGCATCTCAATGGTATACTCCAACGTCAGCTTGACGCTCCGTCCCGCATTGAGCACCACCTCCCAGTTCACCTCGCCGCCCTTCTTCAAAAACGACACCGCTTTGCCCCAGTTGGCTTCCTCCTTCCCGTCCTTGCCCGGCGTTCCTGTCAAGACACCACCGCCACTGGCGGTCATCCTCGGGTGCAGCAGCTCCACTCGAAGCTTCTCGTCCTCGCTCACAGGAACCTGGTCCAGCACCAAGACCTCCACCGGCTTGGCCCCTTGGGCAGCCCTGGTGTTGACCAAAGTGATGGTCCGAGTGTACACGCTGTTATCCCCCTTGGTGAACACACCCGTGGTGCTCCTCTTGACCTCGGGCTTGGGGTACGCCACCTTGATGGCAGGGTCGACACCCAGGGGAATCTTGAACGTGTCGCCCGCGCTGCACCTCGGAAGCGAGGACCGGCCCATGAACGTCCCGTCCAGCGTCAGACCCGTCGGGCCCTTGAGCAACGTCAGCTTGCTCGTGTTGCGGAGCTTGGCCTTGAGGTACGCGGCAGGCTTGTACTTGGCGACCACGGTCCTGGCGAAGACGACGTTGGAGAAGGTGATCCTCGCGACGCGCTGCTTGGAGGCGGTCGAGCTCGGCTTCAACGTCTTGGGGTTGGGGAGGTCGTAGGTGGCGGTGAGGCCGGTTTCCTCAAAGGAGGAGTCCTGGAAGGAGACTTCGGGGGTGGCCTCGAGGACGGTTTGGGCGTCGAATTCTTCGTAGTCCATGGACTCTGACACTACACCGTCGGGGCGGCTCTCGCTTTGGTGCCGCTTGCTCATTGCCGGCCTGAATGCCGCGCTCATCGCAAACCCTCCACCGCGGTATCCTGAAGCTGGATTGCGAGGTTGTGGAGGTGGCGGGCCTACACTGTAGCAGGCAGGTTCAGGAAGCAAAGCACAAGCTTTTTGAGGCTGAAATTGTGACTTGCTGACGCCGAAAAGCTCCGCGCGCGGCTTTTGCTGCTGGGAATTATTTTGTGCTGCGTTCCAGACTTCTTTCTGGGTCCTCTCTTCACGGCTGTAAATGGCCTCATCGCCGGTGAAAGGGGCGGCGCGGCCGCCCAGCTTGATCCGCCACGGCAAAAGCATCGGGGACTCGTCGTTAAGTCCGGAGAAATTAGCCTGCGACGTGCTGAGGACGACCTTGGCGTTGGTCCAAGTCTCCGAGGTCATATTGGTCAGCTGGGCATCGAAACAGAGGATGGCCGAGTTGGTGGTGGTGGACAAGGCCAAATCATAGCTGGGTGACCAGAAAGCAGATGTGGTGACGTAGCTGAGGGACAGATCACAGAAGGTGATGGTATCTTCGATGGGGGGTTCAGGGGCCAGTTTGACATCAGCAGCGCTGGCAATGGAGCTTCGGCGTGACGAGAAAGGGGAAAGACTGGTGGCATCAAGCGTGACACGGACAGTATAACAGGATTTGGGCCAGAACTGTTCCCGCTCACTGCGAATGCGGGCCTTTTCTCTCTCCTTCTTGGCCTTGCGCCTGAGCTTCTGCGCTTTCACCTTGTCCTTTGCCCTTTGGACCTTTGCTTTTGCCTTGTCAATCTTGGCCTGCTCCTTTGCCTCCAACTTGAGCAGACGTGCCTCCTCCAGCTGAAGCTTATCAATCTCGGTGGCAATGTCACGCTTCCGGATGGTGGCGCTCATCTTGTCCTCGAAGGTCTTATCCCGCTCCTTGCGATACATCTCGAGGCTGTCATCGATATTGAAGTTGCCTTTCTTCTTCTCCAACGAGCGGCCATAAGATTCGAGGAAAGCTTGGCGATTGATGGCACTCTCAATAATCTCATCCTCGCGGTCTCTCTTATCGTACAGTGTCTGGAGAGAATCACGCACCGCACTGAGCTCCTCGTTGGTGTTCCTGACAGCTTCGTCATCGTCCTCAGACTCGTCGTCATCCGAGTCCGAGTCAGAATCCGGGTAGATCTCCTGGAAGATGTCACGATTG